AAACTTTATTTTACTGTAAACTGCTAATTATTTCCAACGGTGTTATAAACTATTGAAATATACAAATAACTTATTTGGTGATGATTAAGCTATAAATATATCTGAATCATTAAACAATCATTATTATGTTTATTTGTTGACCATTTCATTGTATAATTATAGACAATAAAATGGCCAGCAATACAGCATTCAAAAAATAACAAAATAATTAAAAAAAAACATACATTTGACCCAGGTAGGAAATAAGCGTTGCGTGCCCTCTCCATAGTCTCGTCGACGTCTTCGCACAATTCAAACTTAAACTGCTTAATGACGACGAGTTTACCCGTCTTTTTGGACCACTTCTTGCCGATCGTTGTCTTCAATTTGTTGGACAACTTCTTCTTCTTTTCCATTCGGTATTTGGAAAGCATATGAATTCTGCTTATCATCACTTCAAAGATCTCCTGCATATCAGTTCCCACCAGACCTTTGCCGGCGAAGTCGCCCAACTCGTTGACTATATATTTAACTTTGCCATTCATACCCTGCTCCTTTTTAAGGTCGCGCAGTATTTTTTGTTTAAACGAATCCGGCAGTTCTGATGACAGGAATGATAGCAAATATTCGAGAATATACTCGTCGGTCATATACTCGTCCCGGAAGTGGGAGTCGTCGATCACGTCGATGATGACCGCCCGCCCAACCATTCCCTTCAGCAGATACTTGGAGCAAATGATGGCGCCGTCAAAATAGCCCAACACATCGCACTTGCCTTTCGGCTCAAGCGTTTTCAGTAGCTTCACGTAATAAGCGGTCACCTCTTTCATAGTGGTCAGTGCGCTCACCTCACGGGTCCAATTCAGGCCGATTACCGGGCGATTAATCTTTTGGGCCAACTCTTCCATTGCCGTGAATGACACCAAAATGGGTGGCATAAAGTATACGGGCGTACCCTTTGTCACACTGTTTAGTGGTGTATGGGTTTGGGTGGGCATCACGAAATTCAGCTTCAGGATAGCGACTCTGGCCCTTTTGATATCGGCCATGTGCTTCTTCATTTCCCCCACAACACCTGCCTCGTAGTCCTTCAACATACCGATGGTTATAGTCTTCACCTGATTTAGCGATACCTTCGTATTCCAGTCCCTCTCCAACTCCTGCTGTAACTCAACGGCAAACATGGATTCGATGCCAATCTCGCCGAGAGTCAAGTGGTTGGGTGTGATCTCCGGGTCGATACCCAGCGCTCGCCACAGCTCTCGGATCAAACGTTTGCCTCGAGTACTGCTTTCTTCCTTTGTTTGGTCCACTTTAACCTATATTTATGGATATCTTAAATAATGGCAAAAATTTGAAATTATGTTATTTACATATGAAGTGACAATCGATTGTTTAATTGCCAACAATTTGTCCAAAACATCGCAACACGAGTTGATTCGCTGTTTTCTCAGTGTTGAAAACAATAACAATTGATCCGTCCCTTCAAACACTCCCACATCACCGACGGGTCCGTATTGTATGGCGAGTCCGTGCAGACCATCCCTACGTCTCTCTTCACATATACGCTCACAAATAGAGTTACCAAATGAATAGTTCGATTGCCCGGCGTTTCCTTTACCACAAGCCAGGGATGAAAAGACAACAAAATAATCCAATTTATAGTCCAATTGTCGGGTCATTTGATCCAGATTTGTAAAGATTTTGTGTTTCGTATCAATAGATGAACAAAACTTTTCAAACGTTAACTTTTCTATCAAACAATCATTCAATTCAAGCGCCAAATGAAATACCCCTCCAATGGGTCCCAACTTTAAGGCTTCGCTAATGAGTTGTTTTGTGCCTTCAATTGTGAATCCATTGGCA